GCAAGAACATCCTTGCTGGGTTCTGGACGGGATCTTCTCACTTGTGTGCAAACAGCAGATACGGTTCCCAGGAGCGCATCTATCACGCTTTTGTTAATTGCGCAATGATGCTAGTTGCGTTTGATAGCCATTTCCGTCTTGTGGGGTTTCTACCGGTATAGTTCTGGATTGATTCTTATATCGCTTCTTGCCGCTTTGAGCCCCGCATGTGATAAGGTCCTGTATCTTTGAATTCTGACATAAACAATAACTTGGTAGTACTTAGATTCAGTACTACATAATAACAACATCTAAATTAGTGCCATAACATCAATGTCCATACATTTACCTGGAGCAACTTCAGTGATTAAACCATGCTAAATGAGTTTCTGTTAAAGCCATCTTCAGTGGACTACAAACGTGTTTTAGCCAAAATCTTCCTCACTAGCACATAATTCGATCTATCATAATAAAACAGATTGTGTGTCTCTACCTGTGTCTCTGCTATAACTCCGAAACTTAGATTTTTGAAATCTAGTTTCAGGAATATGCACCTCAGGGTTATTTTGTCTTCTTAGTTAATCATCTGCAAATTTGTCATCTGCAAATTTGATAAGCATGCCCCCTATTCTTTCATCCAAGTCACTGATAAAGATGTTGAATAGCACTGGGTCCAGGACAGAACCCTGTTGCACCCCACTGGTCACTTCTCTCCAGGATGAAGAGGAGCCTTTCTGAGCACCCTTTGGGTTCGGTCAGTCAACCAATTACCAATCCATCTAACACTTGCTCCAGTCTGCTGGGACATCTCCTATTCTCTAGGAGTTCTCAAAGATTATTGCCAGTGGCTCTGAGATTATATTTGCCAGTTCTTTTAATATCCTTGGATGTAGTTCAGCTGGCTTATTCATTTAAATTAACCAGGTATTCCTGTACTACCTCTTTATTCATTCTGTGCTGCATTTTTTCCTATTATGTCTTTTGCTCCATTTTCCTCAGGTTGAGCACCATTTTCCTTTTGTGAGAAGAC